CCATCTTCACCCATCTCCCAAATCCCTGAAGAAGGTCTGAAAGGAAGCACAGACTTGTCAAAGCTCCCTTGCTTCCGCCACTAATCCAAGAGATCAGCGACTCTTACGTGGCAGTGTGCGTTATATTCCGGCCCTATTTTTCTCACTATTCTCCCCATTTTTTGGAGAGGTCCTGGGAGCAGATGCCTGCCCTTTGTGCTTCAGTCCCTCTGCAGCGGGCAAACACTCAATACTCCACAGCTGTAACCTCAGGTTGCTTAGGGGAGCAGCTGTCTCCCAGCAGACATGGAGAACCAGACCTTTGATGATCTCCAGATGGAGTGCTGCAGCCTGGACGCCCAGAAAGGATCCGGCTGTGGTCCACACTTCCCTTATCTTCCCCAAACAGGAACGATCCTTTCATCGTCGAGAGGTGGGAAACAGTGTTAACTAAAAGCCAGTGTGGATTTAGTCCTGCTGAGAGACACTCCAAAAAACCCCAGATTTTTCCATTGGCTTTTTTATTCCTCTCCATCTTTTAAAATAAGGTTTTAGGGGCTGGAGAGATGGATCAGTGGTTAAGAGCACTAGCTGCTCTTCCAGAGGACCTGGGTCCGATTCCCAGTACCCACATGGCAGCTCACAACTGTCTGTAACTCCAGTTCCAGGGGGTCTGACCCCCTCACATAGACATATACAGAGGCAAAAACACCAATGCATGTAAAATAAGTCTAAATAAACACTTAAAGAGAAAGGTTTTGGTTGGGCTGGGAGACTCACAGTGACAAAACTGTTAAATTGCCTTTGAATCCCCAGCCAAGATTTAGATGTTATTTCTTATTTTATTCATTTATTTGGTTTGTTATTTTAAGACGTTACTCTCACAGTTTAGAGCAGCTTGTCTTCAGATTTTTGATTGTAGGTGTGTATCACTACTACAATAGTGCTAGACAGCACTATATATTTTTTTCAAAGTCCCCCCCCCCCCCTTTGAGAGAGTCTTTACAGTTCAGTCTGGTCCAGGACTCCCTATAGAGCCTAGGTTTGAACTTATGAAAATCCTCTTGCTTCAGCCTTCCAAGTGCTGGGATCATAGATGTGACCTACCACACTCAGCTAGACATTATTATCAGCATTATTGTTGTTGTTATTATTATTATTATTTTGAAAGAGGATTTCTTTGTGTAGCTTTGTAGAACTCACTCTGTAGACCAGGCTGGCCTCAAACTCAGAGTCTTTGAGTCTGCCTCTGCCTCCCGAGTGCTGAGATTAAAGGCGTGTGCCACCACCATCTAGCTAAACGTTGTTTTTTTAAGACAAGGATTAATAAAAAATGGAATTGCACGTCCTATTCCTGGAAACAGAAGCATGGTAAGAGTATTTGCAGACACGCACTGCAGCACCGACTGGTTGAGGCGCTGTTGTGTGGAAGGAACCTAATGGAATCCATTGAATGAATACCACAAACGCTTACACTTGGGCTGTACCACTATGAAATGTAGTTTTCACATTGATGGTCCTACTGAAGCTGATGCTATGCAGTGTAAAATGATTAGATCCATAAGTGAGTTATTTCCCGTTTATAACCTTTTGTCTCTTACTCCCATAGAGACTCTAGGAGTACCCGAGGGGCCAGAAGGAAAGCTTGGTTGACGCACACACGAGATACTGACAGCTGTAAGAGGGTGGGGTTCTGCCAGGTGTGTGCAAAGTGTTCAGCACTTAGGGGGGTGTTAGAAAAGGAAAGGCAAGGCGCTTAAGACATCTGCCTTCTGAGAACAGTTAACTAATATAACAAAGTAAGAAGTAGCCCAGCATTGAGACAGACAATGTTCATTGTACATATCTGGATATTTACATGAAAACCACACCTTTTGACTGCACGGGCCAGGAGCAGGACCACTTTGCCTGCCCCGGGTGTCCTAACCACAGTGCCTCACACTTCGCTGATAAAAGTGAGGTCTAGTATCATGGCCAGCTGCATGTGGCTTCTGACTGTTTTAAATCTAGATGGACAAAATCAATCAGGAAATTCGTGTTAACACATGACTTGCTGTGGAGGAGGAGGTGGGAATGGAATCTGGCTCTGGAAATATCCCTTCAGGGTTTTGTCCACTAATCCTCACTGAAGCCATATGTGCAGGGAGGACCTGTGGTGGCCTAGGGTTTTCTCTGAATTTGAAATTTTTGTGGTTTGCTCTGCCAACCCACACTTTCTTCTCAAGCAAGGACCGCTTCTGCACCAGTCCAAAAGCAAGGGAAGAGTAGTGATGAAGGTGGGGGTAGTGGTAGGATGGGTGTGAGTGGGTGAGTGGGGATGGGTGTGGGTGAGTGGGGGGGATGGGGTGGGTGAGTGGGAGGATGGGGGTCAGGATATTGGGAGGCATTAACTATAAGCCTGGAAATCTTACAGATGAAACTAATTTAAATATCCAAGTAGTCTAGAAAGACCTTTCCTTCCTTCTGCTCTCTAACCCAGACACGTGCTCCAAGGTCTTTCTATAATCTTTGGCAATAATCTGCGAGAGTCTTAAAATGCTATCTTCTGATCTAGTACTTTCCCTTCTGAGAAAGTTAAGAACACAGCCAGAAAACAGAGCTGGCTTTCTGGAACAAAAAATAAAAATGGATTCAATAAGAAAAAAAAAAGTGTGTGTTTGTGCGTGTGTGTGTGTATGTGTTTGTGTGTGTGTGTGTACATGTATGCGTGTGTGTGAGAATAAACAGGCAGATTACCGAAGTTCACTTGCCAGCTCATCTAGCCAATCAGTGCTCTCCAGCTTCAATGACAGATCCTGTTTCAAGGTAAGGTATGAACAAAGGGGCAGGGAGCGTATTAGAGGAATGACATGGGATGTTTCTGTATGCTGTGAATATGTTTTCTTACCTTTGGTTAACAAAGAAGCTGCTTTGGCCTGTGGCAGGGCAGAATATAGCTAGGCGGAAAATCCAAGCAGAGAGAGAGAGAGAGAGAAAGAGAGAGAGAGAGAGAGAGAGAGAGAGAGAGAGAGAGAGAGAGAAGATGGAGTCTTGCCTGAGAAGAAAGATGTGAGGAAACAAGCCACGAGCCTTGTGGCAAAATATAGACTTGTAATAAGCCTGAGCTAATAGACCAAACAGTTTGTAATTGGTATTAAGCTTCTGAATGGTTATTTTAAAAGTGACTGCAGGGCTGGAGAGATGGCTCAGAGTGGTTAAGAGCATTGCCTGCTCTTCCAAAGGTCCTGAGTTCAATTCCCGGCAACCACATGGTGGCTCACAACCATCTGTAATGAGCTCTGGCGCCCTCTTCTGCTCTACATACAGACAGAATATTGTATACATAATAAATATTTTTAAAAAAGTGACTGCAGGACTGGGCAGTGAAACCTCCAGCTACAGAGGAAGACAGTTGGTATAGACCACTGGCCTCTATGTGCAGTCCTGTACATAGGAACTCACACATTCTGTGTCTAGCTCTGTATTTATGCCCATAAATCAAAATCATATGAAGAATTGACTTCAACATCTTGCTGGTTTCCTTGTTAACATTTTAAATAAAATCTTTGTATATATTGATTTAGCAGTTGTTCGCGCACACTAGGTGGCCACTGCAGCCCCGAGGCACATCCGTTGCCCAGTGTGTTCATTCTACATTTATACGTGTTCATAATTTGAGCTCACTTTAAAGACAATTCTTCTTTTTTTCTTTCTTTCTTTCCTTTTTTGTTTTTGTTTTTGTTTTTTCGAGACAGGGTTTCTCTGTAGCTTTAGATCCTGTCCTGGAACTAGCTCTTGTAGACCAGGAACCAGGTCTTGTAGACCTTGAACTCACAGAGATCCACCTACCTCTGCCTCCTGAGTGCTGGGATTAAAGGCGTGCGCCACTACTGCCCGGCTAAAGACAATTCTTTACCATTCTTTATTTCCTACGCTCTAGGAAGTAGTTATAGCTTTCTATCAAACCTGCTTTGCTACTTGAAGTAAACTAAAGATTTATGTATTTTTCTTCTGTGTGTGCAAATGTTTTCCTGCATGTATGACTAGACACCGTGAGTGTCGTCAGATACAAGGAGGCCAGAAAAGAGCTCCAGGTCCCGTGGACCAGCGCATAGACAGGCAATTGGTGTGGATCACTGCAGCCACAGACGCAAGAGGAAGACGCCCGCAGCCATCTTGTGAGCGCATCATCTTCTCTTCTCTTTCCTTTCTCTTTCCTCCTCGTCCTCTTTTGAAATCTCTCTATTTTGGAGTTAGGAAGGGTTGTAAGCCGCCAGGCAGGTGCTGGGAAACAAACCCAGGTCCTCTGCAAGAGTAGCAAGGGCTCCTCACCTCCTCACCTTGGCTCATGACACAGATGCAGAGAGTGTATGTTTGAAGCTCAGTTAACCGCCACAAAGTCAACACACTCAAGTCACTAGCTCTCAGGTCCAGAATAGAACATGTCTTACTATCCAGCAGCTACTTCTGGGCCACCGCCTCGTTCCCTAGTCCCACCCTGACTTGCCCGGCTCATCACGTGTGATACGCGTCCAGGCTGTGGTGTAGTTTAGCTTCTTCAACGCCCTGGTCACACAGTGTTCCTTCATGTGATGAGAGACAAACCGGGAGATTGTTTCTGGTTTGTGCTTTTATGAATTAATAAGGACATTATGCACCAATGGATATTTCAACACAGTTTTGGTAAAAACAAGAGTATGTTCCTGTCGGCCATAGTGCACATTCATTTAAAATATGAAAAAAAAAATGAAACCTGCAATAAAAATTCAGTTTTTCCTTTCTCCCCACCCAAATGAAATTCTTTCACTTGACAGAATGTGAAGGTGGATACATTCCGGAAGGATTAGCCCTCGCTAGCTCTCCATTGGCCATCTTCTGCCTTGATGAAGAGACCGGGAGCTAGTTGAGAAGTTCCCACTGGTGCATAAATAAGGAGGTGAGAAAATCTGAGCTGAGGAGTCGGGGAGGGAATGGGGAGGTTGCTTCCCACAGAAAACGTGGGATGTGACAGTGGGTGGGGGGTGTTACCGACCTCCATTCACTCAAGGTCTTGACTGCTTCCCTTTGAAATCAAGTCACTTCGGAGATTTAAGGTGATTTGTTTCAAGCAGGTGATCTTGGCAAAGCACTTCCATCGCCATGACCTTGTCTGGGCTTGTTCTCATTAATAAGCTGATATTTTCCTAGCTGTTCTTAATTCCAGTGTTTAACCGTTCTGGCCACACACACGATGAGACTGGTGGATTAATGTTGCCTACTCCTTCCCTCAGAGGTCGGACTCCATGATCTGAGAGCTCCTCCTTTTCAGATCAGCTGATAGCTCCCTAGTGAGCTCTTTTCTCAGAAGCAGGGATAGAAAAAGACAGGGACAGTCTGAGGGAGCAGAAAACATGCCTCCATCCCCTCTTGACTACCGAATACCGTAGGCATGTCAGCACATGACCATAGTCAACAAAGGCAAAAAGAGAGGCACAAAGCATGCGGCTGCCCTTTGACCTACCTCAGGTGAGCAGTGATCCGATAAAAATGGGGACTGGTGGGGGTGGGGAGGAGATTTAGTGGAGTCTCAACCCTGCAGGTTTGGTGGGAGTCGGGCTTGGGACCATGGAGAGAACGGCAATGAGATGGCTATGCACAGTCTAAGCTGTGTTTTACAGTCCCTTAGAGTTTGGGGTGCAATGATACAAAGGACAGAATGTCCTCGGGAAGTTGGGCTGAGTTTGGGGGTGAGTGTGGTATGGAAAGGAAGTAGATTAGTTGCAAGGCTGAGATCACAGAGACGATGACAGAGAGGCCCTGGTGGAGCCGGCATAGTGGTGCGTCTGCCAGACACCTGGTCTTAGAAGACTGTTCAGAACTCAGATCTGGACTTGCGCTGCTTGAGATCTCTTGAAATTGGCTCATCAGGACTTGCCACAAGGCACCATTAGCGCTCCGACTGCAGATGTCACGGGATGTGGCTGTGGCCTTCTGTGGGTGACCGAGAAGGATGGGACTCCCCTGAGAGCTCCTGACAGGTACCCTCTTGTACACATTGCTTCAGCGCCTGAGAAAGGATTAAGGCTGATCTGTGCCAAATCTGCCGATGGGCTTATCCCAAGTGGGCAAGCTTATTGTTGTTGATAGCTTCCAAGTGTGTATTTTTTTAGAGATGGATTCCGTGCAAAAGAAATGGCATCCTTGTTGCCAAGAATGAGTAACGACTTACAAAACGCTTGAGGGAAGCTTGGAATTATTTCTAGGCTTCCCACTGGGAACTGTTTGCCCCTTCCATGCTGAAAGGGGCCAATAGATGGATGTTTTATCCTCTCTCTTGCTATCTCTCTCTCTCTCTCTCTCTCTCTCTCTCTCTCTCTCTCTCTCTTTCTGTTTGTTGTTGGGGATTGAACCCAGAACTTTGCATGCAGCTAGGCAGGCACTCTGCCATTGGGTGACATCCAGCCCTGTCCTCTTGTTAATAGTTCAAAGCAGCAGTTCTCAACCTTCCAAAGGCTGTGACCCTTTCATACAGTTCTTCATGTTGTGGTGACCCCCCCAACCATGAAATTATTTTGTTGCTACTTCATAACTGTAATTTTCCCGCTGTTATGAGCCATCATGTAACTATCTGATATGTGGGATATCTGAAATATGACCCCTGTAAAAAGGCCGTTTGACTCCCAAGGGGGTTGTGACCCACAGGTTGAGAAATATTGGTTTAAAGCTTGGCTGGGTGGTGGCGGTACATGGCAGGGCAGTGGTGGTACATGCCTTTAATCCCAGCACTCAGGAGGCAGAGGCAAACTCTGTGAGTTTGAGGCTAGCCTGGTCTACAGAGAGAGTTCCAGGACAGGCTCCAAAGCTCAAAACCCTGCCTTGAAAAACAAACCAAACAAACAAACAAACAAACAAAAAAACCCTAAAAAACAAAACAAACAAAAGCTTGTCCTGACTTGTTAGGACCCTGTCACTGTATGCCCACATTTAATTTGAAGGATAAATATAATTATTTCCATGTCAAATCTACAGAATTAAAAGCCTCTGAGATTATGGGACTGGAGAGATAACTTTGTGGTTAAGGGCACTGACTGCTCTTGCAGATCAGAGTTTGAGTCCCAGCACCCACATGGTAACTCACAACTGCCTGTAACTCCAGTGTCGGGGGACTCAAGGCCTTTTTATGGCTCTCCCAGACACCAGGCATACACGTGGTACACAGGCATACATGCAGAGAAAACACCTGTACACATAAAATAAAAGGTTTTAAAGTGTGAGATTAAAGATATTAAAACAGGACTCCTTTGTGTGGAATCAAGCTTCTGGGCAAGCATTTCTCTCCTGTGAGGACCATGCAATCTGCTCCTTCCACTGCCCACCAGTTGGAACCAGTGGACCCACAACCTGGTTTAGTCTCCCAGGTTGGATAGTTTTCCACCTCAGTGGAAAGAGTGGATCGTTTCCAACTCAATGAATTAGTGGATAGTTTTCCAACTCAGTGGCTCAGTGGCTTCCTACTCCTTATCTTCAAAAAGATCCAGAGGATTTGGTTGCTCCATACACAGTTAAGATAAACACCTGGTTGTGATGTAGGCTTTCAAAGACATTCTTTGGGGACAGCCCAGCCGTAATTGCTCAATGCTGCAGACAGAAGCTCAGATTAATAACCATTGGCATGCGAGTTTCTCTTCTCTGTTAGCTGGAGTTTCTATCTGACTTGAGCTTACACAGTGCAGTGGCAGCCTGTTTAACACTTCTGCTGCCTTTGTTTGTTTGCTCGTTTGCTTTTGAGACAGGGTTCCTTTGTGTAGCCCTGGCTGTTCTGGAAAACCTCTGTAGATCAGGTTGGCCTGGGTTTCACAGAGATCCGCTTGCCTCTGCCTCCCCACTGCTACCACCTCTTTCTCTGTCTCTCCCTCTGTCTGTCTGTCTCTCCGGAGGCCCCCCCCCCTTTTTTTTTCCTGAGACAGGGTTTCTCTGTAGCTTTGGAGCCTTTCCTGGAACTCACTCTGTAGACTAGGCTGGCCTCAAAATCACAAGAGATCTGCCTGCCTCTGCCTCCTGAGTGCTGGAATTAAAGGTGTGCGCCACCACTGCCCAGCTTCAAATTTCATTTCTTAAGTGTGTTTCAAATCCTGAAAAAAAAAATCATAACATCAAAGTAAATTTGAGCTTCACCTAAGTTCATCAGGCAGCTTATCCTGAGTTCACAAGGAGAATAAAGCCACCAGCAGTCTGGTGACACACCCCATTTGCCCCAGACTGTGGCTGAGGTTTGTATCTGATGGGAAGAGTATAAAACCGTGATGATATGACAGCTTATCACTAGACTGTGCTCCGTGTGGCAGCGGTGGGAGAAAAGCTGGCATGGGAACGTGGTTCTTAGGCAATCTCGTCTTTGGAAGTGATTCAGCCGTGGCCGCCAGCAGGCACAGGTGGAGGAGAGCGGTACTACCGCTGTGTTATAGTCTCCTTTTATTGCTCTCTCTCTCTTTTTTTTTTTTTTTCATTTAATATTTAACAGTTTCGTGTGTGGTCTTTTCCCTTTCTTTCTCCTGCCCTGCAATTTGAGCAGGCCTTATCTGAAAATGTGAAATGCACCAGAATCCATACTTTAGATTTTTGAGTTAGAAATGGTCAACAAGTAAAGAGTATACAAATATCCCAAAGTCTGGAAACCTCTGAAATCCAGTCTCCTTCTGACTGGAAGTTCTTGGATAAGGGCTATCCAATGTGCATATGGTTTTCTTGTCACTAGAAGAATACTTCTTGCTATCAAAATAGAAAATCTGATGAGAGAGAGAATCGTTATCATTAATTATTATTAATGTGAACACCGAGTTCCCATTTTTTTTAGACACTAATTTCTAAGTTCTGAGAAGTTTCCCTGGGGGCTGGTATCTCAGTGTGTTGGGGAATATGATTTTAGCTGGGCAAAGATGTCTTGCATTTGTTTATGCTGCCTTTGCTTAACTGTGTAAAGATGTGTTGCTGTTTCACCTTGCCTGCCTAAGGCACCCGATTGGTCTAATAAAGAGCTGATCAGCCAATAGCTAGGCGGGAGAGGGATAGGCTGGACTGGTAGGTAGAATAATCAGGAGGAGAAATCTAGGTAAGAGAGAGGAATTAGAGAGAGGAATTAGAGAGAGGAAGAAGAGAGAGGAAAGGATAAGGGAGAAAGAGAGGGAGGTGCCCCAGGTCAGAAGTCAGGCAGCTGCCAGCCAGCCAGCCAGACAAAGTAGGGCATACAGTAAAAAAGGTGAAGAGCCGTGAGAACGTGGATGAAGAGAAACAGGCTAAGTTGAAAGAGCTAGCCAGAAACGAGCCTAAGCTAGTCTGGGCATTCAGAACTAGCAAGGAGTCATGATTTGGGAACTGGTTGGTAAAGATGCCTGTTACCAAGCCTGGGACCCACGTGGTGGGAGGAGAAAACTAACTCCTTAGGTTGTTCTCTCTCTCTCTCTCTCTCTCTCTCTCTCTCTCTCTCTCTCTCACACACACACACACACACACACACACACACACACACCAAAATTGAAAGGCAATAAATGTTTTTTAAAAGAATGACTTTGGAAAATACCTTTAACCATCGCCTTGGAAGAGAACATTGCATGGTCTTTGCATAACTAACGGGGCATATGCTATGTCATTGAAGTTTTAACAAAAAAGAGCAAAAGGCTTTGCTAACACTCAAGTCACTCAGAGTGACAGGTGTTCAGCACATAAAAAGCACACGGGACCAGCATGGATCAAGTTTGCACTTTCTCTTCCAGATTTAGTTTGGGTTAATTGGAGACAGAAATCAGCACACTGTTTAACTATCCCCTCCGAGCCAGGCCTGGTGGAAGACAGGTTTTCTGGAAGAGTTATAGGCAAATCTGGGGTGCAGCAGTCGCCCCAGCATGTGTGAGGCCATAGGTTCCGCCCTCGGGGTGAATGAGTAAAGAAAGAATGAAAGACACGGCATAAAATAGAAGTTCTCTCTCCCTCTTTCTCCCTTCCCCTACTTCTCCCCCACCCCATTTGTAAAAATACTTTTCAATCGCCTTCCATCCTTCTCAAGTTTAGGCGAATTCTAGTTAAGCTAAATGAAAAGCGAATTCACGCCAATGAACTATTTCTTTTGTATCTGACCTTCATAGTCTTTTCTCCTTGCCCTCCCCTTCCCTTTGCCTTCTCTTCTTTTCCCTCTTCCTCTTTCTCTCCCCTGCCCAGCTCCTCCTCCTTTTTCTCCTCCTCCTCCTCCCTTTAGACAGGGTCTCACTATATATACCATAGGCTAGCCTTCCCCTTGAGATCCTCCTGCCTCCGCCTCTGGAGTGCCTTGGTTACAGGTGAACACCCTCGTCTCCCCCACCCCCACCTGTCTCCTTCTTTTGCTTCTTTCCTTTGAGGGGTAATCTTACTATGCAGCCTGGGTTGGCTTGGACCTTGCTTCTTAATCAAGTCCAGACTCACACTTTAGCTCCTTCTGCGTCCATCTCCAAAGTTCTGATATTACAGATGTGGGCTAACCTAGGCTTTAGCAACTGCTCACAAAAATTCACAGTACTAATGAAAAAAGTCCAAATATAGTGTTTCCCCCCCTCATCTGTGATTTTATTTTCTGAGGTTTCTGCTACCGTTGGTCAACAAATGCCCAAAAGCACTAAGTGAAAAAGTCCAGAAATTCATGAGTCTTAAAACTAACTTCATTACAATGTATTGCTACAGTTCTTTTTTTTTTTTGTCTGATTACATTATCACCGCTAATCCTTTCTAGCCTAATTTACAAATTAAACTATGTTAAGTAACTAAGATAGAAAAGCATCCAATTTATGCATTTGTAGAAATAACACAATGTTTGTTCTGGCTGAAGTTTCACCCCGGGGTCTTGGAGCATTACCAGTACCAGGAAGGAGAGACTCTCACAGTACAAAAAGCAGGAAAAAAATTCTCCCGTCTCAGTTCCCAGTATCCCCCCCACTTCGAAGAAGCAGGAAAGACTCAGAGCCAGAGACGGAAGAAGAGGAGAGTCCCCTCATGACTTCTACCAACCGTGCTCTTGGGGGCTCTGTATGTGTGGGTTTTAGATTATTTCAGAGGGCTTGGGAAACGGGGAGACTAAAAGCATGAACTCAGTCCATCATCTTGAACTTGTAGCCCTTCAAGAGCTTTTTAAGTTTTTGATTTTTTTTTTTTTTTATCTTTGAGACAGGATCTTGCAATGCTGGGTCTCACTAGCCTGGGACTCACTAGGTATATAGCCCAGATTGCAAACTCAGAACCCTTCCTCAGAAACTGTCTCCTGAGTGCTGGGCTTAGAGATACACACCACCGTGACCAAATTCTTTAGGAGCTTCTGGAAGTACACACACACACACACACACACACACACACACACACATTCACACATTTATTTACTTTATCAGAACAAAACCATGTGCATACACATGGGTTCCCATGTTTGCCTTTCAGACATCTGTGACATCTTATCCCAGCACAAATATTTGGGATATTTTAAATATAAAGAGCGTATGCTCAGGAGGATGTGTTTGTGGAACTCCTGGTGGACTCAGGTTGCTTTATGCTTTCTGTGTGATGAACACAGCTTGCATGATTTCCCTCATGACTGCCTTAATTGCTTCCGGAGGACAGAGCAATAACAATGAGGCAACAGGTGTTCTTGTCCCCACCCTTCACCCTCGGTACTGAGCACCTGCTCACACATCCCAGGAAAGCCCTGAGACTGAGACTGAGACACCTCTCCGGTAGGCGCCTTCTTAAGGCCTCTGTGCACTTACAATTCTTGCACGCTCTTTTTCATTTTTTTCCCCTTCATTTTAAATGCATTTATAAAGTGTGCTTGTTAATGAGGTGTGGGGTGATATTTCCTGATGAACACCGAGTGCATTAATCGATCCAGCTTGATTCTATTCACCCTGCCTCCACCCTCCCCCAGCAAACACTGTTCTACATTCCAATCTACTCCTTAGCACCCGTGTTTAACAGAGAACATGTGGTCCTTGGCTTTCTATGTCTAGTTTAATTCACTTAACACGACGTCTCCCGGCGCTGTTCATTTTGCCGTTCCCCTTTAAGGCAGGGTAATATTCCACAGCACACGTACGCCCCCGTTTTCTTCCTCTGCGCACTCACTGCACACCACCTAAGCTGGCGGCTCTGCTTAGCCAGGCGTGTTCTTACATTTAAACTGCAATCTGGATGCTAACCATAAACCCAGTTCCTTTTCTTGGTTGAGCCACTGTAAACTGCTTTCGTGTCAAGATCAGCTTTATTTTCCAAAGTGGGAGTTGACAGCATCAGGCTGTGGGGGTGGAAGCCTAATCCTCCTCTCAAAGGCTGCCATGAGTCACCCTCGGCTTCCTCTCCCCACCCTTCCTGACTCCATACACATCCCTTCCTTTCTATCTCTCTTTTTGTCAACAAGTGGGATTCAGCCTGAAGTTTCTACTGAAGGAGAATTGGAATGTGGTGTCTATTCAATTATTTTCATATTGGAATTCACCTTATCTCTTAAGACAAAGCCGTACTAAGTTTTTACCTTAAGGGTTGATTTGTGGGAGCTCACAGAAGTTAGTAAAATCTGCAGAGGGAGGACTGAGGGTGTTTGCTCAATGATGGACCTATACCTATAGCGCACAAGGCTCTGTTAGATCCCTGTATGGCAAACAAAATAAAAGGTGCTGGGAAGGAATAGAGGCAAGGGCCTCACACTCGACTACAGAGGTACATGCCCACATGGCCAGTCCATGTGACTGGTTTTTTGTTTGTTTGTTTGTTTGTTTGTTTGTTTGTTTGTTTTTATGATCTTGTGTGGACATCTATTTGGGCAGCAAGTTTCCCATGGGTTGCCAAGACCTGGGAACATTCCCTGTATGATTTGAGGATCTCCCGGCTATCAGAAGCCTAGAAGCGTACAGCACACAGGATTCAAGCCACCCCTGCCCTGTTTTTATTGCTACTGTTCACACTACAACCATTGTGATACAAAAGGATTTAGAATGTAATGTGGTCACCATGACTGGTCCATGTGTTTTCTACATTGAAAAGCTAAAGAAACCTAAAATCAGCTGGGTGGTGGTGGTGCACACCTTAATCCCAGCACTTGGGAGGCAGAGTTCAAGGCCAGCCTGGTCTGCAGAATAAGTTCCAGGACAGGCTCCAAAGTTATAGAGAAACTTTGCCTAGAAAAACCAAAAACCAAAAACCAAAACCAAAACCAAAAACCAAAAAAACCAAAACGTAAAAACAAAGTTTCAAGAGCTGTGGTGTTCTGCAGCTCTGACGTCTGTAAGCCACAGTCACGTCACGTCGTGTGTTCTTACAGCCTGCCATAGTGACGGTGTGTGACAGCATTCTACAGGTGACAAAGTCATAGCAGATGGAGGTTACAAAGTCCAGGGTTTGCTTGAGTGAGTGCTCTCCCCTCCCCGGACCTTCCTGCCACAGAGAGAATGTTCTCCTTTTCCCTCTCTTGGCATACACTCAGTCTCAGGAACCCCAGATGCACGGTGTCAGTAGCACCAGTTCCAATGGTAGGCTTTCTTACTCTCAGCCAGTTACAGATTCATTTCCAGGGGATTCTAGATTTTTCAAAGTAAGATAACTGGAATGCTCACCAGATTGCTGTGTGCCTCAGAGGGGCTAAAGGCAGATACTGTTTGAGTTTAGAACTAGAAGGTCTCCAAGAGTAAAGAAGAGGAAGACGAGCAGAAGGTCCATGTTAGGGTAGCCAGGCTTGCAAGAGTGAAGTCCCCTGAGCTGTGCAAGGCAAGCACCATGGTTCTTATCGAGTGCTGTATCAGATTGTGTCTCAAAATCTCAAAATTGCTGTTTGGAGACACAGACAGATTTTTTTTCTATAAAAACATATCCAGGGGTTAGCTGCCAGGTTTCTCCCTAAAGTCTACTAGAATTACATGTTCAGTTGTTAAGAGCACTGCCTGCCCTCCCTGAGGACCCAGGTTTGGTTCCTAACCATTTGTAACTAGTTTCAGGGGTTCTGACATCCTCTTCTGTCTCTGAGGACACCCAGCATATATGTGTAGGCAAAACACAAATACACATAAAATAAATTAACTAATTTTAAGAAAAACTGTATTTACTCTGAAATGGCATTTTCCACTTCTCTGAAATTCCATCTTCAGAGAAGCCTGGCACGCAGCAGGGAAACTGAGTCTTAAGGACAGCTGAAGCTAGCGATGGTGAACCTGGATCCTTCTGAGCGCAGAAACCTTCAAATGAGCATAGGAGGAAACTGTTTCTCGGGGATAACACAGAAGTCAGGCACACCAAGAACAAAATGAACTTTTCGTCAGTCTGAATCCTGAAGGTCAAGTCCACAGGCTAGTGACTGGAGGACCCAGCTTCTCCTCAATAATTTAACCTCTGTGGGTGACGACTGGTAAGGTGGACACCCTTGTATTTCTTTTGATCTCTACAATGATCATCAGTACTGCTGCTGGGCACAGAGCCGGCGCCAAGAAACCGTAGTTCCGTGTAGTGAGTAAGGGGATTTACAGAGATGACTGGCGTGCCTTGGCGCAATGGGCTCTTCTTACAGAGATGAATTCTTTGAGATGATAATAGGCGGTTTGTGTAAGATCTGCCAGGCGGAGCAGGAGCGTCCTGATGGATTATTAGTGAACATTCACACAAGAGTCAAGAAGTTAATCCACAGCCAAAGGTGCTTCACCACTTATGAGACACAAGGCCTTGGGTGTGTCACCTAACCTCCAGGTCCCCATCTATAAAACATAGGCAGTGAGAACACCCGTAATATAGGGTTATTATGTGGCTTAAGTAAGACAATGCCTATAGAGTAATCAGTAAAGTGTTTGGAAAACCAGAATTGGCAAGATCTTAGGAGCCGTGCAGGTGGTCAAACCTCTGGAGACGACCCAGACATGATAGAGGGCCCTCCTCACAAAGGGGTCCCGAAGTTTACCTTGTCCACCAGTCTTTGCTATATCATTGTAAACTCATAAGAACCTCCCTCTTCCAGAAGCCTTTTTAGGGTGTGATGGCCAACTTTTCCTCCAGCCTTGTACTTGCTTTCTCTGATTAAGCTCTAAGACCTTTCCCCCTCCTCTCCCACCCCTCTTATTCCCCCCCCTTCTCTTTTGATCCTAAGAGTCGAAGTCAAGGCCTTGCCCAGAGTAAGCCAACCCTCTGTTACTGAGCAAGACTCCCCGAGCCAAAGCCACACTCTGAAAGTATTCTAACACCCGCGATTAACAACAGACCTCACCCTGGCCTTCTTTCAATTTATCTGAGGGGTCTGTTCCTGTTAGGACTCCAGGCTGGGCTGGATGACAGCGGTGACATCCCAAGAGGCCAGGTGAGAAAGCAGAGGCAGAGCAATTGCTGGGAGAGAGAGCTGAAAGTGGAGAACTGCCCCATTGGAGACAGTAGGTATTTGAAAAGGAGTCCAGGGGGCTGGCAGTTTGCCTGGGAGTCTCATTTCTGCCTGCAGTGCTTGGGATGAACGCCAGGGCTAAGCCGCCTCGTCCAAACGCTCACCGGCACTCACTACGCCAGTCTGATAGCTGCAGCAGCAACTGGAAAACTCAGTGGTGAACTCCCTGCTTTTCCCAGTACGTGAACGTCAACACCAGCCGGACGTTAAGTGTGAACAGCACAGCAGTAAAGAGTTTAATCAGAGAACAAGAGAGTTCCCTCCATGTCACAGAAGCTGGCAACAATTTCCCAAGGTAGATGTAGGTGAAATGAATGAATCAGAGAACAAGAAAAGCTCGGCACACTGGTGGATAATCAATCAAAACAAATGCAACAGTGTTTCAGAGACGATGACATCCAGTGGCCAAGAAGCATATGAAAAAGTATCCTCCTTGGGGCTGGAGAATCCACTCAGGGTAAGAGCACTGGTGGCTCTTCCAGAGGTCCTGAGTCAATTCCCAGCAACCACATGGTGGCTTACAACCATCTGTAATTTGATCAGGTTCCCTTTTCTGGCCTGCAGACAAAATACTATATGGAAAACAAACAAATAAACAAACAAACAAACAAACAAAAACAAAACAGTCTTCTTATTAGAGATGAGAAAAACAGGAACCAAATCCACAATGTGGTTTTAAATTACTTGTATTTATGCACTGCGTGTTCCATGGGCCAATTTTCTCCCTTGACCATGAGGGATCTGGGGATCTAACTCAGGGCATCAGGCTTGGCACAAGTTCCTTTACCCACTGAACCGTGTTGCTGGCCCTGGTTCAAATATTCTTAACGGGAAATTCCAAAAATGAGTAATATGTAAACTTAAAATCGCACGGCATTCTGAACAGCTTGCTACAATCTCAGTGTCCCACTCCGCTGCTTCTGGGATGGGAAGCATGTCACACAGCTTGCCGGTGGGTTAGTTACTAGTGGCCAGACTAGTGACTCTGAATCCAGGATGCCACATCGCTCATGTTCGGCGGCTCTTAATTTACTTGATAGGAGTTCCAAAGCAAGAAAGCAGCGAATCTGTCAACTGAACAGCCGGAAGGGGAGCGACAAAGTAGCATTTCCCCTCCCTCCCTCCCTCCCTCCCTCCCTCCCTCCCTCCCTCCCTCCTTCCCTCCCTCCCGCCCGCATCCCTCTTTCTGTTTCTTTTTGAAATAGGTTTCCGAGTACCTCAGGCTGACCTCCCACTAGCTACGTAGCCAGGAATGACCTTGAAAGTCTTCTCCGTCTCCAGCTCTTGGGTGTTGGGGTTACTGGCGTTGACCACCACGCCCAGCTTATGTGGTGCTGGTGAAAAACCCTAGGCTTTGTTTCTGCTAACCAGCTGAGCTACACTCTCAACTCCATGGAGTTTCTTTACACGAAATGTAAAGACTTAAGAAGAGGGAAGAAAAAAAATCTATTCTGAAACTGCTAAGATCCACTGGGAACAAATCTTCTTACTTTACACATTTTTTTATGATTTAGTGGATGAAACCTAGCATCACTCACGCTGAAAACAAGTTCTTCTACTGACCTAGAGCTCACAAAACCAGCCTCCCACAAGGCAGCATGGGCACATTTGGCCAACAGGATGTTGGGTGAGAAACGTCAGTCAGGCAAAGGTGTGTTCTGTATTGTACCATTTCACTTACGGGTCTCAAGTAGGCAAGATCAGCCTATGGCCTGGGAACTCCAGAGTCCAGCTGTCCATCATGCTTGCCAGTACGTGTTAATCGTACAGGATGGCGGCTCCACCACGCTTTTCACACACGTATGTAATGTACGTCGATCATTTTCATCCCCTCTGTTGTCTTCTATCCCCTTCCTTCTCACAGGTTCCTTTCCTTTCCCTCACGTGATTCCCATTCTGCTTTCATAGATTCTTCATACGAGAGAAATGTTGCATGCGTCTTTCTGAGCCCGGCTTTTTTCATATAACGTGATGACTCCCAGTTCTACCCTTTTCCTGTAAATGATATGATTTGTTTTTGGGAATAATACTCCATTGAATGTATAGATCCCATTTTTTCTTTCTTTCTTTCTTTCTTTCTTTCTTTCTTTCTTTCTTTCTTCATTTTCTTTTTCCTTCTTTTTCTTCCTTCCTTTCTTCCTTCCTTCCTTTCTTTTTGGAAATAGGGTTTCTCTATGTAACAGCCCTTGCTGTCTTGGAATTCACTTTGTAGACCGCCAGGTTGGCCTCAAACTCACAGAGATCCGCCTGCCTCTGCCCCCCAAGCGCTGGGATTTAAGGCATGCGCCACCATGCCAGGTGATCGCATTTCTCTTCATCCACTCATCTGTTGATGGACACCCAGGCTGATTTCACAACGTGACGGTTGTGAAATAATGTTGCGATTACGTGGGTGCACAGGTCTTTCTGTGACATTTGGACCCAGCCTCCTTTGGGTATCTGAAGGAACTGACCAGCTGGATAATATAACAGAGTCTCTGCTTTGTTTTGGAAACCTCCATAATGGCTGGAATAATTATTTTCCTACCAACCATGTTTAAGGACTCACCTCCTCTATCCTTTCCAGCATCTGCTGTTTGTTCTCTGGAGGACAGCCATTCTGACTGGGGTGAAATGGGATCTCAGTGTTGTTTGGTTGACTGAGGACGTTGAACTTCTTGTGTATATATTTACTGACCATTAGCACTTCTTTTTGAGCACTATTTATTCGGCTCACCTTTGCATCATTGATTAGATTGCTTGTTGCTGGGTAGTAGAGATCAAATCCGGGGCCTTGTTTCTACCACTCAGCTACCCCAGCCCCTTAAGTGATTTGAGGAGAGATAAGGCTTAGGAATAAGCAGTGGCTTCTGGTTTTCTGAGAGTGTTTATCCCCTTGCTAGGTGCTGGCTACATAGGGGTGTGCTTGTTTTATGAAAATTCGTGAATCTCCCTGACTATGGCTTGAACATGTGGATGTGCGGATGTTCTACGTCAGTGCAAAGTGATTTGCAGTTAAGACAAGAACACTGTTGTTCTTAGGCTGCCCTGCCTAGAGAATTCTAGATGGGATTTTGCCAGCCAGATGGAATGATGGGAGAGTTGGAAGGCCAAAGGAAGATGAGAGGGGTTTTCCCTAGCTGTGGGGGTCACAGCAGCTGCTGATGTGCTTGCTATGTCAAATGGGGTTTTCTGGGCCTCCACTCCTACCAACGCCATTGGCCATAAGTGGCAGTGATGTCCACAGTGGCTCTGTAGACAGCTCCATGACTTCTAGAGTGTAACCATGTGATCTGAACAGGAAGCTTAAGGACGGCCTCTGACTTCTGCTCTTTCCTGCCCTTCTTGCGGTTCCTGGAGCACATGGTAACTGGTATCCAATGGCAGTTGTGAGGTGAGTGCAGCCCACAAGCTGATGGGTAGCTAGCTAGTAGCTGGTGGTTGATTCCAGGAATCTCCGGAAAAGGGAACTAGCACTTGAAATTCTACCATCTAGGGCCATCATTGTTTCAGGAGAAAATGAGCCTGACTTTGCCTGATGTGCCATACAGCCTTGCATGCCACCAGATCTGCTGGCTTCTGCTGCCACTCAATAGCAAGTCTCAGAACACGGTTTGTGCTCTCTTCACGGGTAAGCAGCACAGGTGCCTTTACTTTTCCCTACGTGCCCCACAGTTCTTTCCACCCGTGGGACTCATTAAGTACAATAGGGAACCCTCCAGAGAGGACCACGCAAACACAGTGGAGAGCCAACTGAAAGTCTTTATTCCAGCTGGCTGAGACTACTCATGTATCCAGGACCCAAGTGTAGTGCCAATGTTTAGAGAAAGCGGCCAGTGTTTTGAAGGTAAAAACCACAACCTGGTATCTCCATTGGCAGCTTCAGGGGAAGTTTGGAAAAGCAAGCAGTTTAACAAAAGCCGAGATGAGCAGTTAGCTGGGAGGGGGTTTCTGCACAAGCAAGCAGTTTAAGAGAAGCTAAGGTAAGTTAGCTGGGCCATCTTGACCTTGGATTCCTAGAATAGAGTTGGCTGATTTTCCATGGGGATTCTTACCAAGAAGATAAAATTCTAGTCAAACCTAAAATGGCCTTAGCAAGAAAACAAGATGGAGGCACCTGTGCACCATCTTGCCCTGCCACAGGAAGACTCCCTATTCTGGTAGCATTCCCTATCCTTTCCTTTTGGAACATCTTCCTGAGTTGCTTATTTTACCAAAACCCTTCACTAGTGGCACAAGTCTAGTTTATGATCCCAGCCCATTATGACATTGTCCCCAGCCAAGACTTCCATGGATCAAAGTAGATTGGTGAAAGACTGGAAACAAAAACTTGCCAGCCTAAGGCTCTTATACCCAGCTTTCCCATAGAAAACAGTGCCCAAAGTAGCAAACATGAGCACCGAGAATCAGAAGCCCAAAGAAAAATTGCATGATGGCTGAAGAGGACTTACTGACGCTTGGGGGTACACAATTGGAGTGGATGTTAGAAAAAGTCCATCTAGACCGGGAACCTGACCTCTGGTGTGTTTGCAGGTCCTGGTTTAATGCCTTCTGGTCTGCTCACGCCTTCTTTTCTAGGCACGACTCCCACTGGCAACATCGGCACTCCAGGGATAGTGTTGTAAGATCTCAGACCTCAGGCCCTATCAAATTACAGCCTGTGTTGTAACATGACCTTGTCAGATGATGTACATGGATGTTAAAATTTGGAGACTAGAGCTAAGGAGATGGTTCAGTCAGTAAAATCTTGGCCAGTAAGCATGAAAATCTGAGTTCAAGCCTTAGAACAGACACACACACACACCACACTTACACACCCATACATAGACTCACAGACCCTCACACAGACACACACACGCTCACTCATACACACACACTCACTCATACTCACTCACTTATACACACACACACACAGACTCACAGACCTGCACACAGAGACACACACACACACACACATACACATACATCGACTCACAGACACACACACACAACACATACATAGACTCAAAGACACACACACACACACTTGTAATCCTAGTGCTGGAAAGGCAGAGAGAGACCAAGCGATCCTTGGGGTTTATTGACTAGCCAATTTAGTGAGTTCTAAATCAATAAGAGACCCTGTCTTAAAAAATAAAGTAGATAAGCACTTGAGAAATAACACTTGAAATTGACCTCTAGAACCTGCACACACACACATACACACACACACACACAGTGACAAGCACCACAGGTACTCTCTTTATTATTTAGTATCTATACTCTTCAGGGCAAGGCCTATATTATTCCAGGTCTTATAACAGCAGATCGTGTGAAGAGCTGGAGTAAACGGAACAACTCTCTCATGGTCCCTGGAGAAGGTACCTATCGGAGCAAGGCTCATTTTTCATGTTCAGAATCCCGTTCAGATTCTAATCTACTAGGAAAACTAGTAGCCCATTTGCTAGTAGCATGTGGTTCAAAACTAAGTGTAACAAGAGGAAGGTATTTAAATAGATATTTAAATAATATCATCAGTCATTTAACTTTCAGCTACACAAAGATAATTACACTAGAATCCACCTATTCACTCTGCCCTGAGAAAATGCGAGGATGTTGTAACAGGCTCATGCTTTTGGGCCATGACTGAGCGCCACTCCTTTTTGGCTAGGACATGAATCCATTTGATTTAAAAAGTTTAGGGTGTATACTAGAATTTGAATGGTAGCAACGCCCTGTGACCCTTCCCCGGAGTGAAGTCATATCGTTATTCAGGGTACTTGTGAAGACACAGGCCCAGCTTCTGGACTCACTCAGCCTGGGAATTTGGCCCATGTTAGAAAGGCAGGCCCCCAAGGAGGAGAGTGTCCCAGCTTGTCTCTTCCTAGAATTGGGCTTGGCAAAGCTGCAAGCCGAGGGGGCTTCTGGGATGTTGGCATCCCAGAAGGATTTTGAAGGATTTGGAACAGAGACAACGTAGACTTTATGAAATGTAAGGAGACAGTATCGCAAAGGTAACAAGATTCAAAGGTCCCTTCTCCCCACCCTCATCAACTTGAACAAATTTCAAACCAGGTCCTACTTGGCCCCATGGTTCAGCAGCTAAAGTACATAGGTGATTACCTCCCGTCAATAGTGTCCCTATCTCATCTGGGAAGTAGAAGTTGATAAAGGACTTTTGTTTTTAAATAGGAGAGTTAATAAATTACTCTAAAGTAGACTTTAATAACTGGGCCTTGATAACAACCGACACATCCATTAATCAGCTTCCATCACTGCCAAGTTCCATGTCTGCACACATTTGAAGGAGAATGTTACAGCACTCCAAACAACAGAAAATATTTACGGTATAAATGTCAAAACACCATTAGCTATTGCTCATAAGTATAAAGAGAAATTAGATATGAGTACTCAAGTCAGAATGGAATTTAAAGTAATTAAATTAAAAATAGATCTAGAATGGGAATCAATCAGTTTACAAAAAAAAAAAAACAAAAAACAAACAAACAAACAAAAAAACCCCTCAATCCAGAACAAGGTCCCATCCAGGCAGAGGACCTTGGTGCTTCAGCCCCGTGGTAGAGTCCTTCTCTGGTACGCCAGAGGCCCTGGGAACAACTCCCAGCATTGCCGAAAATCAACAAACTTAACAAATAAAACCAACATCCATGTTCCCATCCTGAGCCTTATCTTATTTGAGGAGATAACCCTTGTACTCCACCTGTGAGATTAGAGTCGTATGTTTTATTTCTCCTACTCACCTGCCAAAGTGCTGGAAAGAGATCTTTGAGTCAAGAAACACATTCTCGGGTCCGGAGAGATGACTCAATGGTTAAGGGAGTCTACTGCTCTCGCAGAGGTCCCAAGAGCTTCCTTATCAGCTGGCTTACAACCACCTGTAACTCAAGCTCCAGAGGGGTTGAACGCCTCTTGTCTCCTCAGGTACCTGTACTCATGTGCCGACATACACACAATTAAATAAATAAATAATAAATAAAAAAATAGCATTCTAGGCTGAAATACTACAGATATAGAAATACTAGAATATAGAAATTCAATTTCTATAAGTTTTATAACAAGTTAAGGCTGGAGATGGGGGCATAGCTCAGTGGTAGAACTCAAGGTAAATGAGCACATACATGCACACAAACATGCACACACATCAACTAGGGAAGCCTTATGCACACACTCAGTTTTGCAGCTTATTGACTTTCATGGTCTGTCCTGGTGAAAAACCACATCTAGATATAAGTAGAATTTTCTAACTGGATTTGAGGAAACAAGAGAGCCTTGAAGTGGTTTCTATTCTGAACATTTTTATTTAGTCAAAAGGGTTACCGTAACTTGAGCTAGGACGTTGAGGTACTTCTTTAAACATTGTAGAAATGAAAGACGTAGTTTTCTGAAACTCATCCCACACTGCCTTTTACGGTCACTTGTAACATGGGTGGCAGAACAAATCGTCAGGTAAAGAGCAGCAGGCGGCAGGACTAAGTCCATATGCAAAGACTTTTATTCCACAGGAAACAAAAAGGAGCACAAAGTGAATCAGAGGCCAGGCTGAGCCTCAGATGATGAACGCTTGGGAGAGAATACCACAATCTTGGTTCACGTGGTCTCTTAGATGCCAAAGCAGGGGAAACAAAGACAGCATAAGGTAGACATTGTTATTCTTTTTTTTTTGCGGGTGAGTGGAGGGTAGAGACAGAACGCAAGACACACGACGGTGCGGGGTTAGGAAGGAGACACAAACACGCGGCGGTCCCACGCGGGTACACTTTAATGGGGGAGGGGTAACAACAGGTAAGGTACAGCTGTGCAGAGACAAGAGGGTAGAAGGGGAGAGAGAGGGGGCTCGTGGAGACCCCTGTTTTTAACGGGGAACGCAAGGGCGTCTGGGAGAAGTGTCCTGCGCCTGCGCGTGCTGGTATCCGTAGTCTAGGAGGATGTTGGGAGCTGTAGTCTCCAAAAGGAACAACAGACATCATCAGATTAAAAACCTTCCTGGGTGTAGTGGCCCTGTCTTGATCCCTGACTCCGGAAGATGGAGGTAGGCAGATGGGACTTTGAAGCCAGCTTTGACTGTGTATTGAGTTTGGGGCCAGTCTGGGCTGTAGGAGACCCTATCTCAAAAAGGAAAAAACAAACAAAAAACCAACCAAACAGCCTACTCCCAACCTTAAACTTTTTTTATTCAAATAATACTAACAAGAAACTTATAGAATGGTAGAAACTGTTCAAATCATGCGTTTATGTGCGTTTTTAGATATGAACTCAGTAACATAAAAAGGCAAACCACCCAGCTTGAAAATGGATGAAGAGCTGAAGAGAGATTTATAGACGACACACAGTGAACTTCAATAAAAAGCCAGAACGCCAAGAAGAGCAGCCAGTGTTCCCTGGGTCTGAGTTCAGAAGGAAGCTTGGTGGCCATTTAGTGACGGAGGGATCACAATACTTGGTGAAATTCAAACTCAACCTTGAGTGTCTTGCCTGGGCTTGTTCTTGTTTCAGCTGCCCAAATAAACAGCTACCGGAGAGGCTTCCTGGATCTGGCCAATGAACTGTGCTGACCCTTCAACTCCTTGAGGCTGAGCACTTCCTGGGGTTTGCAGCCTAATTTGCATAAGCAGATGGGGGGCGAGAATGTGGGCCTCAGCATGAGCCAACCTTTTTTTTTTTTTTGGTTTTTCGAGACAGGGTTTCTCTGTGGCTTTGGAGCCTGTCCTGGAACTAGCTCTTTAGACCAGGCTGGTCTCGAACTCACAGAGATCCGCCTGCCTCTGCCTCCCGAGTGCTGGGATTAAAGGCGTGCGCCACCACCGCCCGGCCTATGAGCCAACCTTTTATTTTGTTCCTTGAAACATGCTTTAATTTTGTGCCGAAGTCTGAATTTCCCTGGCTCGGGAACTGCTCGTATTTGAAACTAAGCCTCCCTTTTTACCTTGTATCCTTTCCTGGTGAATTTGTGTTGACAACAGAAATGAGCAGTAAACACAGGAAAAGACGCCCGCTCTCTGGAACCTTCAGAAAAATGCCCATAGAAACCGCGATGGGACACCGCGAGATAGCCTCTGCCTTGGCTACAGTCAAGACATAGTGACAGGGGTCATGAGGGAGTGGGGACCTTGGGGCTGTATTAGTTTTTGCATAGCCATGGCCAAAATAACTGAGAGAATAAACTAGAAGAGGAAGGATTTATCTTAGCCGGCAGTTCCAAGGCTCTCAGTCCTTGGCTGTGCTGTTTCAGAGCGGGGTGGTGGGGAAGGGGTGGTGGGGAGCTTTATTTTCAAACAATTTAAACACTTGTGTGGGGGATGGGAGAGAAGATTCCTATTCAAACTAATGCTGTCACAGGGCCCCTCATGCATTGTTGGCAGAGATGGCAAGAGTGCAGCTATGTGGGAAAGAAGGGGGCAGTTTCCGTTACTTTATTTTTATTATACTTATTAATTTGTATGTGGGTATGCAGGTGCCACATCAGGTATGTGGGGATCAGAGGACAGCTTGCCACCTTCTTGTGTGTCCTGGCCATGGAACTCAGACTGCCAGGCTCCTTGGCAAGTGCTTTTATCCACTGAGACATCGGCTCGGTCCTAAAGGGTGTCAGTTTCTCAAAGGCTAAATCTAGCTATCATACGACCCAACAACTCTTCTCTTAAGTTTATATTCCCAAAGAAATAAAAATATGACCGCATAAAACTTAACTATAAATGTTCATAACAACATTTACAACATCTAAAAAGTAGGTATAACTTGTATGGACAGTGAACGCAGGCTATGTGGAAGAACCCCACAACAAAGGAGCAGGTTTTTTTTGTTTGTTTGTTTTTTCGAGACAGGGTTTCTCTGTGTAGCCCTGGCTGTCCTGGAACTAGCTCTGTAGACCACACTGGCCTCGAACTCACAGAGATCTGCCTGCCTCTGCCTCCCAAGTGCTGGGATTAAAGGCGTGCGCTATCACCGCCCAGCCCAGGACATGTATTTATGATTCCATGATGAGTGTAAGGTTCAGAAAAGGTAACTGTGTAGAAATAGAGCATCGATTAGTGTTTGCCTGGGGATACTGTGGGAGAATTGAGGGAAAGAAGTGGCGGAAGCATGCACAGATAGGAAGGTGCCATAAAGTCAGGCAGCTGAAACACAGAGCCCACAAGCGGAAGGGATGTTCTGGAGACTCAGGCCCACAGCTGAGCGATTTTGAGGGGAAGAGAAACGATTTTGTGTGCTTAAAAGATGGGAAGAAAGGAAAACCTCATTTGGTTCTGGCAGAAAGGAGATTTAGAAACAGTTTATTTATTCTTGCGTTTCTCAACCTCTTACCAATATTGACATTTGGATGGGATAATTCTTTGCCGTGCGGGTAACAGAGTAAGCTAACTAGACTCTTGCCGCTCTGTTTCTCTAGGCACACTTCACAGCAATACAAACCCAGAAGGAGAAATGTAACATGACCTCACCGGGTGTCCCTCACTGGTGACCCAAACACAGCCCAGTCGGGAAGGTTAGTCTCCATCTTAGATTCCTGCTCTTTTCTCGCTCTTTAGAAATTGGGCTCCATTTGATATCAGCCAAAGAGGACTTTGAGATGCGTTGGCGAACTTTCCTGCATTAGTCCTCGCTTAGGTTCCCCCAAGAGCTCCTCTCCCATTTTGAGGTTGCTCTGCAGTGCAGGGCTGGTCAAGGTGAAGAACAGCGAAGACAGCGGATTCTGTAGGGCCATCCGGAGAACCCGCTCTTTTATTCCACCCAGTTCAGCCACTAAAACTGTCGATCTCTCTTGATTCTATGCCTTGAAGTATGAAGGAGGATGGCTCGGGAACCTGCAGGGAAGGACTCACTCAAACGCAGCACTGGGCAGCGTGTGTCAGGAAGCATCTGAAGCGTGTAAAAAGATGCCATAAGCGAGCGTTGAGATCCAAAGGGACATACTGGGAACATGTTCTGGTATTTGGCCAGTGGGGCATATATATATATATATATATATATATATATATATATATATGGCTTGACTGTGTAATATAAATGTCATAGGGAGATAAAAACAGGCAACTTAAAATATAATCAGAGCAGCTTAATAAAACACAGAAACACACTGTCAAATGGCACCAAATAACAAAATCTGGGGAAAGAATCTTAAGCTACTAAATCTATACAGAAATCCAAACAGGATTTTAAATGGATCTCTGTTTTTTGTTGTCTTGAAATGCAATTGAACCCCAACTGATGTCAGGTAAACCTACAATGATCATCTTAAAGGAATTTTTTTTTTTTTCCTAGCAGGTAAGCAATACATTATAGGATCAGTCCCTGTTTAATGTCTGTAAAGTGTTGACTCTGCCGCATGAAAGTAAAGACCACGGGTCAAATGCTTTGGGCAAATGACACAAGCTTTATTTTCTGTCAGACAGGGCTATCTCCCTAAAGTGGAGTTAGAGAAAACAGCATCAAATATAGGAGGTGGTGGGGTTTATACAGTCCCCCAAACCTTCAAGACTAGGGGGTTTTCAAGGATTGGGGGATTTCCAGAAGAATTTTGGTTACGTATGAATTTGGATAAATATTTCAAATATTATTTGACAGAACATCTTATCAGGATGGATGGAGGTCAGGGTATAGGGTGTGGAACATGGAAAATTCCAGAAATTTGGTCAAGACCTGGTCAAAGTTTTACATAAAAATGGGAATAAATTTGTTTTGACTTTGCCACAAGATGACTTTTGACCTTAAGAGGGGGTCAGGTTGGCCCATCAAGGGTCAAAAGTAGGGGACAAATGGGTTGATATAATCCATATGCTTGACTGCAGGAATGGGGTGGGGGGATGGGGGGTGGGGGTTACTAGTGAAATTGTTAAAGAAGTTTTTCCTACTTTGCTAAAAACTGTCTTCCTAGAGAGCCAACCAGATTAGAATGTAAAATTCTTGGACTTCTCTTGGTTCTGGACCAGAAAGTAGAGTCTTGGGGGAGCCGGGACCCCGATCTGAAGCTCCTCTCTTCTCTCCCCATCCTTTGTGAGGATGCCCCAGGCCACACACCACGTCTGGACAGTAGGTTCCATCTGGCAAGCCTAGAGCCAATTACACATCGTACTATTGTAGTCTACTCTGAGAAAGAAGTCTAGGCAGGTCCTGGGATTAGTCTTGGTACATTTGAACAAGGAATTCTGAAGTAATACCCTGGTGAGGTCTAGAAGGAAGTTATGAGCTCTGAGAATATCTCCTTGGCCTCTGTCTCCTGTGGTGGTGGTGGGGGAGGGTCGGAGCAGGACTCCCTAAGAGCCTGAAGCTGGTACCAACAGTGCTACCTCCTGGAATGTGGTCGTTAGCCAGAGTGAGGCAGTCCTGGCATGGACCTCTGACCTGCTCTGGCAGGAGGAGGGAGCCTGAATTGGGCTTATCCAGACAGCAATGGTCGAGCCTCGGAGTGGGCACACAGTCTTATCATCCACCCCGCAGAGTCTGCCCAGACTTAAGTGCCAGTTAGGTTAATGATTTAAAAGGACATTTACCTTTTTGCTCTGTTGAGGAAATACCAGAAGGTTCTGGAATTGCTTTATCAGACTCACAGAGCGTCCGTTTTTCACTGAGCAGCGCCTTCTCTGCTCCGCCGCCCTCCAGCAGTTCAAGGATCCACTCCCTTTGCTTGTTCTCCCTTTTCCTTTTAATCATGTTATCAGTAATTATCCTGACAGTGGCCTTCTTTCCTTGTCTCCCGTCTTCCTAAACTCCACCTCTGAACGAAGGCCACTACACTTTCTCTCTCTATTCTGCCGGAGGAAAAAGTCCCACATGGCTTCATGCCAGTGTAAACTGACTTACTTGTTCTAGCTTTCACTCCTGCTTGTTCAAGGCTGCTCCTTACACTGGGCGTGGTGCCGCACACCTGCAATCCCAGCTCTTGGGAGTGAAATCAAGGCGAGGGCTGTGAGTTCTAGACCAGCCTAGGCTACATCGCCAGATCCACCCAGAAAACCCCCCACCCTCCCCACATTCTCCAGAATTCCCTTTCTATGTTTCTCCCAGTTCCCTCAAGCACTGTTCTACTTCTGTGTACAACTTCCCCTCTTGCTTAATCTAAGATAATCAACATTTTCAGTCTGACTTTCTTCCTCCTGCTTCTCTCTGCTGAGAAATACTTAAAAGACGACACTGGTTGGTTAGTTGGTTTTTGTCTCATTTCAGAGGGGAAGACACCCAGGGTTTATTTTTCTGTTAAGTCCTGGATCCTGTAGGCTCCTGGCCCCTGCACATTGAAGTCGGCATGATGCTCTGCTGCCCTGCGTCCTGCATTGAAGCCGACATGACATGGCGCTCTGCTGCCCTGCGCTGCGTCCTGCATGTTGAAGCCGGCATGGCGCTCTGCTGCCCTGCATCTGTTTCTGACTGTGCCAGGGTTTTCTCTTACACAAACTCAGCCAATCATCTCTTCTCCCGTTCTTCTCTCTTTCTTTCCACCTTTCCTCCACTTTGCTGCTGAGGTTTGAACCCAGAGCCTTGAGTGTGATAGGGACTTGCTCTACTACTGAGCCACATCCCCAGTCCACCTTTCAGGCCCTTGACCCCTCTTAGTTGCTCGCACTCGCTCCCTCTCCAACCGGTCATCACCAGCCTGCCTTACTTCCATCCTCATTGAGCTTGCATGGCATTGCCCATCTTGCTAATTTTTTTGTTGGTTTGCTTTTCAAGATGGGGTTTCAATGTGTAGCTTTAGAGCCTGTCCTGGAACTAGCTCTGTAGACCAGGCTGGCCTCGAACTCACAGAGATCCACCTACCTCTGCCTCCTGAGTGCTGGGATTAAAAGCGTGTGCCACCACTGCCAGGCTGACTATTTTTTTTAATTATGTTTATTTGTTGGGGAGGGGATGTGTTGGGGACCGTATGTGCCATGAGGCCAGGCAACATCCGGTTTGCACTCTTATTTCCTTACTTTATTGCTTAGCAAGTATTCACTGAGTATGCGCTACGTGCTAGGAGGCAGCACTGCCTTACCCACGAGCATCTATAGCATGACAAATGCTTCACACAGGACGTTTTTGGAGACATGCAGCGATGGCGCGCTTGTCAGAGTGAGAAAGAACTTCCTGGGAGGTGGCATCTAACCAGATGTTGATATAGGAGCGGCGGGGCTGCGTCCCCGGCACCCGGCCGCCCGCATGGCTAGCTTATACCCAGAAATAATTACACGGAAACTGTATTCTTTCAAACACTGCCTGGCCCGGCTAGGTCCAGTTTCTTATTGGCTAGCTCTTACATATTGTTCTAACCCATTTCTAATATTCTGTGTAGCCCATGAGCTGGCTTACCAGAGAGGATCTTAACCTGCATCTGTCTGGAGTGGGAGCATCATGGCGACTCCTCCTCTAACCTTCTTTCTCCCAGAATTCTCTTCTGTATACTCCGCCTACCTAATTTTCTATCCAATAAAATGGGCCAAGGCAGTTTCTTTATTAGTAAGAAATCATTCCCACATCATTTCCCCTTTTTCCGTTTAAACAAAAAAGAAAGGCTTTAACTTTAGCATAGTAAAATTACATATAACAAAACAGTTATCAAGTAAGAATTACAGTTACAATATTTATATCTATTTTATCTCTTATCATAACTAAGGAAAACTATAACTATTTATTCTTCAACTCCATCAAAGACTCCAGAAGGATATAATATTATCTAAGTAAACAAGAAATAAGAAAACTCTAGAAATGACAGAGACATCTCGCTGCCTGGACAGTCACCCAAAGTTCCTCTGTACCGTTGGGGCATCCATCTTCGGCCTACAGGCCCATGGTATCCAGATACATTTCCATGAAGCAGGAAATTTTAAAGACAGTTCAGTCACTTTCTGCTGTGTTCTGTAGAATGTCTTGTAGACTCTTTCATGAATCAGGAACCCCGAAAGACCATCTCACCTTTAGGCAAGTTCAGCAGTCCTCTCTCTGAGGGTTCTCTGTGTCCAGTTTATGCAACAGTCCAGGCAAGAGCAGTTTCTTGCCCAAATGACTATCCAACTCCATAAGGATCCTCTTCGATGCCCATCTTCCTCTTGAAGTAGCTGGTGCTGCCAGGAGCAGACGTGTCTCCTTGTCATGAAAAGTCCTAAGTTATTAAAATATTTTAAATGCCATATTCTGCAGTCTTTGAAAGATATGAAGAATGCCTATCTAATTGAAATATATCTCTATATATCTAGAAAATCTAACTAACATGACTACAAGCTTAACTATTAGCAATGATTATCCATTAACAACCTATATTTCCTAATTATACATTACATTTTAAGTGAACTACATAATCACAATACCTTAATCAAGTTCAAAAATACATATACATATAACAAAATTGACCTTAAAATCCATACCAATGCAAATTATTCATATCTATATCATATCCCCCTTTAAATGTAAAAGAACATTTATAAACAATATTTGGGAACATGGGCGTAGTTTTTTCTCTCCAAACTGCTTCCTGCTGAATGGGGGCACTGTTAATCAGATCATTTAGGGTGTAACCTGTGTGTCAGGTTCATCTCGGTTGGCAGTTGAGTGAAGTAATTTTTTGAGGGTGTTCACAGCAACCTTTCAGGAGGGCGTGGTCTATCATACCATACCGGGATAGATGCAATCCATAGGGTCACATCCTCTGTGGAAACAAAAGAAGACCCTCTCCAAAGCATCATATCCTTAGATCCAAATTTTGAAGTCAAGATACCTTTAGAACATATGTGCAGGTTCAGCTTAGCAGCCCATATAATAAAATGTCTCTTTGTACTTAGCTCCTTCACAGTCAAAAATTTTAAAGAAAACACAATGTACATAATCCAGACTCTCTGTGAATTTTTCATTTTTACGTGGCTTATTTTTCTTTATTTCTCTTAATCTATAACTATCTGTACTTCTGTACTCTGTCTCTTTAAAGACTTTACCCTTTTTCTTTTTAAGACATTAACTTTATTCTTTATATTCTCTTTTTTTCCCCAAGCCTACGTACATTCATCCAACGGTGTCTGAATCTGTTTTACTGTGAATCTGTATTTTTTTTTTTATTATCCAGGAGCATTTCTTAAAATGTTAAGCATTTCTTAAAAACTTAAGTTGCACCATGTATAGGTAATACGGTACTGCCTGTGTCCTGCCCAGTCTAAACCTTAACTGCACGGTTTTAAGGTAATTACGGTAGTTCCTGCCTGAGATCAGCACAGTTCAGCAAGGAGCAGCCGCTCCTGCCTCAGAGTCATTTGGTGCTTTTGAGCTGAGCACAGTTACAGGCAAACAGCAGTTTACATTGGAGCCGCAATCAGCAATTTAATTTTGAGACTGAGTGTGCAGCACAGAAACTCTTTTTATCCAAGTTACAGCCAAATCTGACACGCAGAGCACTGCGCAGTCTGAAAACGCGTCTCTGTATGGCAGCAGGAATCCGCCATGCTCTTCCGCCTGCCTAAGCCTGATTCCGCCATCTGCCCAGGTGTAGGCAGGGAACGCTGAGCCATCGGCAGGTCTCAGAGCAATCTCCTCCGATCCCAAGTGGGAACAGAAACATCCAGTCCCATAAAAGCCTTGAAATGCTTTAAAGCCAGAGTTCACGCTGGCAGCATAGCCCCATGAAGCCGCGCTTTAAAATGACGCAGCTTTTTTTCTCTGCTGTTGTAGCTGAATCAGGAATCTCTCTACAGCACGCCACCAACAAAACAGCAAAAATCTGTGTTAAACTCTCTCTCCCTTATTTTTAAGCCTTCTCAGGTTTTTAAGTGGATTTAGCCCATCACGTCTGGGCGCCATCTGTTGAAATAGGAGCGGCGGGGCTGCGTCCCCGGCACCCGGCCGCCCGCATGGCTAGCTTATACCCAGAAATAATTACACGGAAACTGTATTCTTTCAAACACTGCCTGGCCCGGCTAGGTCCAGTTTCTTATTGGCTAGCTCTTACATATTGTTCTAACCCATTTCTAATATTCTGTGTAGCCCATGAGCTGGCTTACCAGAGAGGATCTTAACCTGCGTCTGTCTGGAGTGGGAGCATCATGGCGACTCACTCATTTAGCTTCTTTTTCCCAGAATTCTCTTCTGTCTACTCCGCCTACCTAATTTTCTGTCCTATGAGGGCCGAGGCAGTTTCTTTATTATTAAGAAATCACTCCCACATCAACCAGACACCCAGGGAACATGCAGGAATTAGCCACCATTGGGTAAAAACTGGAGAAAGTCTTCTTGAAATGTGGAGATAGTCCAGAGGCCAGAGAGAACATGGAACTGAAGAGGCAGGAAATATGGGAAATGAGAAGCTGGACGTAATCTATGGTCAGGTTATTTTATTTATTTTATTTAAACTTTTTTTATGTGCATTGGTGTGAGGGTGTCCGATCCCCTGGAACACAGTTGTGAGCTGCCCTGTGGGTGCTGGGAATTGAACCAGGTCCTCTGGAAGAGCCTCCAGTGCTCTTAATCACCGAACTATCTCTCCAGCTCCCAAGGTCAGATTATTTTAAAGATATTTATTTATTGTGAGTTCAAAACCAGGCCTGGCTTACATAGTAAGTGCCAGGACAGCCAGCGGTAGACAGTGAGACCCTGTCTCAAAATCTTATTTACTGTTCATATAGGAGTCTTTTTCTACATGTGCATTGCATTTGTGCCTGGCGCTTGACTCCAGAAGAGGTTGGGTCCCCTGGAAGTGGAGTTACAGATGGTTGTAAGCCACCATGCAGTTTCTGAGAACAGAACCCAGGTCCTCTGCAAGCGCGGACAGTGCTCTTAGCCACTAAGCCAACTCCTCAGTTCCCTGTGGGTAGATCTTAACTCACCTGTCAAGGTTAAAAGGTTAGATTTTATCTTAAAGGCAATGGGAAACTTTAAGCAAGTGAGTTACCCAGGTGATATCGTGATTTTGAAAGAGCAGGCAGCAGGACGATATGGGAAGTGTTGACAGGTGTTCTCCCACTCATCCTTCTCCCCAGGCTCTGGACTGCCAACCTGTATCTTCTATATGTAAATGTGCACACATGTATCTGGTCCGCCACCACTCTGCAAACTCCCTTGTCAACCAAATGTAAAGCACGCTATTGGGAAGAGAGTCTGCCATTGGCAGAGAGCCGGACTCCATAACACAATTTTCTTTCCTTTGTCTTTCCTTCCTTTCTTCCTTTTTTTTCTTAGGGACAGGGTTTCTCTGTGTCCTGCCTCTGCCTCCAAGTGCTGGGATTAAAGACATGTGCCATCGCTGCCCGGCTATATTACAAAATTTAAACATAAAGCATTTTGCCTCTCAACTTGGAGATTAAATTTGTGCCATAAAACTGATATGCACAAATGTGTAAGTCTGAATTGGTTATTTTTCCCTTCAGTGGTGGGAGAAGAAATGGTTGATCTATGTCTTAGTCAGTGTTCTATTGCTATAAAGAGACACCAAGGCAACCTTATAGAAGAAAGCATTTAATTGGGAGCTTGCTTACAATTTCAGAATGTTAGCCCATTATTATCACGGCAGGGAGCATGCTGGCGTGCAGACAGGCATGGTGTGGAGAAATGGTTGAGAGCTTTACATCCTGATCCATAGGCCACAGGGAGGGAGGGAGGGAAGGAGGAAGGAAGGGAGGGAGGGAACAAGGGAGGGAGGGAGAGAGAGAGGGATGTGAGGGAGGGGAGTGAGGGAGGGGAGTGAGGGAGGAAGGTAGGGAGGAAGGGAGAGAGAGAGAAAGAGAAACTGGCTTGGGTTTTTGAAACCTCAAAGCCCACTCTCAGCAATACACCTCCTCCAACAAGGACATGCCTCTTCCTTCCATCAAGACCATACCTCCTATCAAACAGTCTACCGGCTGGCTGATGACTAAGTGTTCGAATCTATGAGGCAATGAGGGTCACTACAGTGTGGAAGGAGATGTGTTAGGGCAGTGGTTCTCAACATGAGGGTTACGGCCCCTTTGGGAAACCTCTACGTCCAAAAGTATTTACATTAACATTCATAACAGAAGCAAAATTCCAGTTCTGAAATAGCAATGAAAATAACTTTGTGGTTGGGGGTCACCACAACACGAGGAACTGTATTAAAGGGTCAGGGGAAGGTTGAGAAAAAGAAGGGTTATCCTAGATTGATGGCTGGGGTTCC